TTCTCTGGCAAATGCCAAACGTCCTGCACGGTGTTGGGTTGTAAGCACAACCCCCACCTGTGGACGTCGGACCCCCATACCACCCTCATGGAGTCTGTTTCTGATCATTTGAGCAGCCACATGCACATTTGTGGCCCGTTTGAGCAGCCACATGCACATTTGTGGCCCGAGGTCATTTTGCAGGGCTCTGGCAGTGCTCCTCCTGTCCCTCCTTCCACAAAGATGGAGGTAGCAGTCCTGATGCTGGGTTGTTGCCCTCCTACAGCCTCCTCCACATCTCCTGATGTACTGGCCTGTCTCCTGGTAGCGCTTCCATGCTCTGGACACTACACTAACAGACACAGCAAACAGTGCTTTACAGCCCTCTCTAAGCGGTTTACAGAGTTAGCATATTGTTCCCAATAATCTGGGTCCTTATTTTACCGACCTCGGAAGGATGGAAGGCTAAGTCAACCTTGAGCCGGTGAGAATCGAACTGCTGGCAGTGGGCAGAGTTAGCCTGCAATTCTGTATTCTAATCACTGCACCACCACGGCTCATATGGCTCAACTTGTTTTTTGTGGTCTGTTACCTTCACTTCCATGGTTATTTGGCAGCTTCAGCTTGCCTGCATGGTCTTCCATGCAGTTTAGCATCATGTATGCAAGGAGAACATTATTTGTCCTCCACAATATACTTCAAGTTGTTTAAATATGGCATGGAACTCGGGAGTGTGGAAAGAGATGCCATGTTAGGAATACAAGATGCACCAGCTAGACTGCAACACGTAGTTGTATTTGGCTGATTCCAGCAAGCAAAGCAAAATCAGATGTGACTGGTACTTAAATGGGAGATCACTTAAGAAACCCAGTGCAGTAAATTTAATTGAAAAAATGTCTTGGAAGAAGGCAGTAGTAAATTATTGCCCTATTGCTGTCAAGAAAACTATGTAGAGGCCAGGAGTCAAGTTCAATTCAGAGAAGGTTAGGAAGCTTTGTCATAAATTGTATTGGAAATATCAGGTGATATTTTTTTCTTATCATGATTTCTTTGTGAAGGAGCCCTTAGAAGAATGAGCCAAAAGATATTTTGTGCCTATTTTTAATTTCACAACTGCCTGCTTTTTATTAGCCTAAATAATTTGCATATCTGTAATGGAATTTGCACGGTAATTTACGAAAAGAAATCCCTTAAATGTAATCCACCTGCTAAAAGCAGGAACAGAAGAAAGAAATAAAGACTTTTATTTTATTTTTGAGCAGTGGCAGAGGGGTTACCTGTGCCTTGTAGTTCCTCCCTGGACAAAAATAACTTTCAGGCCTCTTTTTCCTAGTTTTTTTTAGTTTTTTGTTACTTGTATGGATTTTTTTAGGCTCTAGAACAGCCAACAAACCTATTATCTTTAATTACTCCCTCTCCTTCAAAAAATAAACAATATGCTATCAAATTAAAACAAAGCCACACAAGCTTGGTGAGCTCCAGTCGTGCACAAAAAATGTGTAATCCTGCCATAAAGCATAAGGAAGGATGTCCCCTCCCCTTCTTGTTTGAGGAAGCATTTTGCATCTCCTTTAAAGATTAAAAAAAAAGAGATTCTTTTTTGTTTGGGAGGCTCTTCCAAGAATGCTGCTACTTCCATCTACTGGTAATCCTTGACTTACAACCATTTGTTTAGTGACCGTTTGAAGTGACAGTGGCACTGAAAAAAAAAACTTACAAAAGGTCCTCACACTTAGAACCTTTGCGGCATTTCCCCCCGTCATGTGATCAGAATTCAGGTGTTTGGCAACTGACATATATTTACGATGGTTGTAGCCTCCTGGGGCCACGTGATTGCCATTTGTGACCCTCCCAGTTGGCTTCTAACAAGCAAAGTCAATGGGGAAAGCTGGATTCGCTTAACAACTGCATGATTCACTTAACAACTGCAGCTTAACAACTGTGGCAGAAAAAGGGCATAAAATCTGGCGCAACTCACTTAACGACCACCTTAGCAAATAAGTTGAAGACTATCTGTATTTTATAAAGGCCATCTTGGGTCTCATCAATCCTCATCCTTAGTTTTGTATTAGAGTGAGTTAAGGGCCTCTGAAGAGAAGCAGTGGATCAATAAGGTTTATTATGGGCAGTCAAAGAAAGAAGGATTAAAGATTAAACTGCCAATATAATATCGTTATGTCAGCCTGTGGCATTGCGTATCATCGTAGCCATCCTATCTGACAAAGATAATTTAGTAGTATCTTTTTCCTGATCCCACCATCTCTAATTCAGCAAGGATATACCAAGAAGTGGACAGCCATGTCATAATCAAGTGTGTAATATCAGAGATGGGCTCCCTTTTCAAACAACGAGATGTAAAGTCTGAAATAATATTTTCCTTTCTATTTTCCTCCCTCCTGTTCTGCAGGATTATAATAAGTTGAATAAGTGTGCATCCTGTTGGGTTTCTGTTCTCTCACCTCAACTTTATTTTCTTATGAACATCAAAGGCACAATCCAATAGAAAGTGAAAAAAAATGTGGATCCAGATCAGTGGGGATTCAACAACCTGTTTAATTCAGTCTGTTCTGTTTTCAAATATAGTATTAACTCAATAGGGACCAGCTCCTTTGTCTTTTGAGCTGGCTTTCCATCAGAAGAAGGAAAATTAAAACTTTGCAGCTAGGTAACTGAGAAATATTGTCCAGGAATGTTTGGCTGAAAGCAAAAGAGTGGGGGAAAAAATCCACAAATTAATGTTAGAGTATTGAGGAAGTTTCTATTTAGTCACCACTGCTTTGAAGTATTTCTTTTGATGTCAGATGTGTAGCTACAGGAAATTCCAATTATTTCCCTCCACTTGAGAAAATTATTTGTTGGAAGAAGTTCGTTTATTTTTGCTATCCATCACTTTAAAAAAAACAAACACCAATTTTTAGATTACGTTTTCTAAGCTTCTTCTGTCAATGGAAGCTGCAACACATGGTAGACTACATCTGGACAGGCAATAGTCTTGTGGGCACTACATCTCCCAGCATGCCTTGCTGTGCACTCTACTAGTTGAGACTGCAGGAAGCCACAACAAGAATCATTTCCTGGTGTAGATCACAGGGTGGTGACTAAATGGAAGAATGTTATTTTATTTTGATTTTTTTCAATGTGGATAGCTACATACATCTCACATGGGTAGGAGCCTCACAACAATTAAAACATCAATAAAAATGCAAATAAAATCAAAAGGTACACTGCAACCATACTCACTTTTAATATGGCAGCTGCTTTGTATTGTCATTGATACTACACTCCTCAAAACCTTTCTCTGTTACCTGGTTCAGTGTTTCTCAATCTTGGCAACTTTTAGATGGTTGGATTCAATCCCAGAGTTCCTCAGGCAGCACTGAATTGAAATCCACCCAAGTTGAAGCATTAGCTTAAGAGAAAACAAGAAAACTTGCTGTTGAATGAATGAATGAACGAACGAACGAATGAATGAATGAATGAATGAATGAATGAATTCTTTATTGGCCAAGTGTGATTAGACACACAAGGAATTTGTCTTGGTGCATATGCTCTCAGTATACATAAAAAGAAAAAATACATTCATCAAGAATCATGAAGTACAACACTTAATAATAGTCATAGGGTACAAATAAGCAATGAAATCATACTAGGAAACAGTCAATGTAATAATAAGGATACAAGCCACAAAGTTACAGTCATACTAGTCACAAGTGGGAGGGGATGGGCGATAAGGAGTGATGAGAAGATTAATAGTAATAGTAGTGCAGACTTCGTAAATAGTTGGACAATGTGGAGGGAATTATTTGTTTAGCAGAGTGATGGCATTCGGGGGAAAAACCGTCTTTGTGTCTAGTTGTTCTGGTGTGCAGTGCTCTATAGCTTTGTTTTGAGGGTAGGTGTTGAAACAGTTTATGTCCAGGATGTGAGGGATCTAAATATTTTCACAGTCCTCTTTTTGACTCGTGCAGTATACAGGTCCTCTTGCAGTATACTGGTCCTTGATGGAAGGCAGGTTGGTAGTAATTGTTTTTCCTGCAGTCCTAATTATCCTCGGAAGTCATTGCTGATTACTGTATTTCTTCTTTTGCCTGCAATAGACTGTCATTAGACTTCTATAAAGTAGTGGCATCTGCACAGGGATGGCGGGGATGCAAGATGGTGGATGTGGTAATATTGATACTTGTAGTCTTTGACTTAAAACCACAGTTGGGATTGGATATTTTATCACTAAGTGATGTGATTATTAAATGACTGCACTAGATGTTACAATCTTTTTTATTGCAATTATTAAGCATATCCAGTGGTCTTTTCAGATCCAGCTTCTATTTTGGTACTAGGAAAAAAAGTTGTCCTGAAAAATCAAAACGAGGTGCAGTAGAGCTGCTAGGGAAGGAAATCTTGTTCCAGGAACCAGTTTCAATTGATTTAATTTAGAACCCTAATGTGTGGCAGGTCCCTTCTGATGTTATTCCTCAGCCCCCTTCTTTCAACATCTAGAGTGGCATTTAGGGGATTGAAAGTGTCTTTGAGATTGGGGGAGGAAAGGTGATTGGAAACTTTCCTTCTATGAAGTTCTCCAGTCTGATTCATATGAAAATTCAAGATGATGGTTTTAAAGTATAAGCTGATCTTTCTGTGTTTGTGCATTTCAAAAATAACTACAAGCAAAATCACACCTTTTAAAAGTGGAACAGCAGGTAAGAACTCTAAAAGTTGCACCTCTTCCACAGGCAACATAAGTTTGTTTTTATACCGCATCGTTCCATATGTATGGATGTATATATTCAAGCATTCTCTCCTCATCGTAGGAGGAGATGTTCTATCTTCTCAAACAAACTTGCTAATGACTAACAACAATTTCTCTTAAAAAACATCTGAAATTTGTTTTGGTCAGTTCTCCTTTTGGATGGAATGAAGCCTTCAAGCATGGCTGCCTTTCATCTGGTTTGTTTTTTGAGATGGTTGTCTAAATGTCCCCTCTTCGTCTCCTCCCTGTTCCCTCCTTCTCCTTCCCTCTGCAGATCCTGGCCTGGTTTGAGGAAGGAGATGAAACCACCACAGCCTTTGTGGAGCCTGTTGTGATCATTATGATCCTCATAGCTAATGCAGTGGTAGGAGTCTGGCAGGTATGTTAAAGGGTTGGTCACCTAGCTGCTTTGTCTTCAGGTGGGAGGGAGGAAACAAGTCGTAGCCAATTCATATCAGCTTCAGGTGTGTTTTAGGAGTTATTTGATATAATTGCAAGTCTGAATCCAGTCCGTGTCAGTTTCACACATTTTTTTTCCAACAGTATCTACCAAATGGAGGAGAAAAATCTCCCTCAAACCCCCCCCCCCCCCATTTTCTGTGAACCGGAGGTATTTATCATAGAAGTTGCTTTTCAAAAGAAATTAACCGTCAGTTGGTGGAAACGGCTAAAGACATCTAACAGAAAGCATGGATTCCTTTGAAAATTGGCCAGCTTCCCTCTTAGTGATTTTTTTACAATGATTAAATAAGATTGTTTGATTTTCTTTTATTTCCCCCTCTCTTAATCTCCATCCAGATGATTCTCTTCTCTTCTCTTCTCTTCTCTTCTCTTCTCTTCTCTTCTCTTCTCTTCTCTTCTCTTCTCTTCTCTTCTCTTTCTTCCCTTCCCTTCCCTTCGCTTTCTTCCCTTCCCTTCCCTTCCCTTCCCTTCCCTCCCCTCTACTTCTTTGACTTACACATCTCCATAATTCCTCCTCCTCCTCCTTCTTTCTATTTCTGCTGGTGTGGGTGCACATGTGAGCAATTAATTTTAATCAGGAATTATTAATTCAGTTATATGACTTCTGGGTATCCCCAGGAGCTTTCTGCTTTTATTAGAATGATGGGAATAGCATCATGCTGTCCTGATACAATCTCCACACTAAGGTGTATTGCCTGGACATGTTATTTGAGGGGAGAAATCTTCAGGTTTCAGCTGGTGGTGAGGACCATATGTTGACAAAAGGAAAAAGGTTGAGTGTTTCTTACAACTTAATCCAAACAATTTTTTCCTAATTAGTCCTCCTATTGGGGAGGATTGTATTAAATGTAAGGTTAACTTCCTTTTATAAAATACAACATTTATTGGAGCCTTTCATTTATCAGTTGATGGGGGTCAATCTGTTTACCTCCTCTCCTTTGTAGTTTCATATCTATAACGGAATACAGAATAACAGAGTTTGAAGGGAGCTGGAAAGTCTTCAACCCCCACAAGGCTCAAGACCCTATACCATTCCGGACAAATGGCTATCCAATCCCTTCTTAAAAACCTCCAGTAAAAGCCAGCTTTGCTGGCTGAGGAATTCTGGGAGTTGAAGTCCACAAGTCTTAAAGTTGCCAAGTTTGTGGACCCCTGCTCTAGAGACAAGCCGTTCCACTGACAAGAAATTTCTCCTTAGTTCTAGGTTGGATTTCTCCTTAATAAGTTTCTATTTGTTACTTCTTATCCTGCCCTCGGGTGCTTGGGAGAATAGTTTGACCCAGTCTTCTCTATGACAGCCCTTCAAATAAATCATTCATCTTTTCCATTCTGTTCCTGCATAATTCTGCATTTTTAGAAGACATGCACAGATTGGTATTTAACTTTATGCCAGTTTCCTTTGCATAGTTTGTGTATAATATTTAAGCTAAGAGATGCCCTGTACTGTTTTGGATGTTACAATCTGAAAAATAAATGTTGATCTAGATATTAATCCGAGTAGTTTAATTTAGGGAAGTTAATTTAAAAACAAAGATCCTTTTCAGCTCTAGCCTTGCATACCATTCTCTCTCCTTACAAAGTGATACAAACATAGAAGAGAATGCAATTTTTATTGAACACATGCCAAATTGACATTGGCTGGAAATATATTTTTGAAAGTAAATGAGGTTACAAAAATAGCTGGGGCAACTTTTTAAAGAAGGCAATTGAGGACAGATTGGTTCCAAATGCACATACACTAATGTTTCCAAAATAATCATTTAAAAGAAATAAAAGAATTATCAAAATAATCCAATATGATATAATATCACCAGAACAGAAGGAACCTGGTTGAACAATCCAACACATCAAGTGGACATTTTTTATCTGCAGAATAGCACCACAATACTAGTCCGTAGAGTTGCAAAACAAGATATGCAGCAGTGCTCCTGGGCAGTGACCGAAAAGGCCCCGCGTGTGGTAGATACCATCTGTATCTGGATGGGGTAGTTCTTTTATTTTAATCTCAACTGAAAAAACGTTCTCCTCTGAGACATTCAGATTGTTCAGGGGGACTTCTAAGTTGGAAAAGTTCCAGTTTTAAAAAGCTGTCTGGTTTTTTTGCAGGAGAGGAATGCTGAGAGTGCAATTGAGGCACTAAAAGAATATGAACCAGAAATGGGAAAGGTGATCAGAGCAGACAGGAATGGAGTACAGCGGATCCGAGCTCGAGACATTGTCCCAGGAGATATTGTGGAGGTAGCAGGTACAATCTCAGCCATTGGCTTGCCTTGTGTGTCTAATGTAGACCGATGTTTTTATATCATGAGATAATAAGAGGCCTTCTGCTTATTTGCCTTCAAATGTCAGCTGCTGTACTTTACTTATGGTGTCATAAAGGTTTATTGGTTATTGGAGAACTTTTCTTCCTCTGAGAAGTTTACCCATGCTAGTCTGTGGCAGCAAACATAACAAATCATCTTGTAGCATCTTGGATGGCACAGTGGCATAAGCTTTCATGGACTTGCAAACTAAAAGAATAATCAAAAGAACCATTCCCAATACTAAAACTTATAAAAATAGACATCAAGAACATTTACTAGTGTTGGAGAACTTAATGACGAGGATGATTTGTTAATATTGTATTGTTTGTGTGTTTTAGAAAGGATATGACAGATATTTGTTTTAAAGAATTTAGAATGTAAAAGACAAAGAAAAAAGAGTGGAGGCAAAAATATGTCATTATTCTAACAATGCATACATTGCTTAAGTACATATTGCACCTAAGATATAGTATTAGTCAGACAATATGTGAAATATGTGTAGTAATAAATAGCACTTAAACAGAAGCTAGTAACTTTTTCAGGTCCAAGTCTGGAAAATAAATGATGAGAGAGAAGAGAGACAGACAGACAGATAGACAGACAGACAGACCCATTTTATATAATATCCTGGGCACCCAAATAAAGAGTTGATTTCAGTGAGAATGAATAAGATTTTGACTTCATCTTGCCTGATCTCTGGAAATTTCAATATTCTCATTAGAGATCTGTATAAGATTTCAGTGGTCTTTATTTTTATTTGGGGGAGATATCAGGCTCCAGAATCCAAGAAAGCACATTGTAATTCTTCTAAACAGCTTTCTCTATTATTCCTCTCCTATAGACAGAATCCTACCAAAAAAAGTAGACTACTGCCCCATAAAACATATATTGGAAACTATACAGAAGGAGACTGTCTTCTCCCTCTTTGTGTCACAGAAACAGTGTTGTCTCTTGCCCCTCAGGAATTCATTCCCTCCCTCCTGGAAATCCGGACAATGTTCCATCACAGGAGATGTGGTATATGGATAGCTGAGTTAAAATAAAACCAAAACATTATTTGAATTAGAAATGAGCTAAACTTTTTCAGAATACCGTTTTCTTGGGGGTGGGGGAGTCTGTGATCTTAGATTAGAATTTTCTAAGAATAGTTCTATCAGAGTTTGTGAAACCATCATTTTCTACTTTCAGTGCCAAGGAGGAAAAATCTAGAATCTCGCAAGGCTGTTAAAACAATTGCTGTTGCAACCATTTGTGGCAATGTTAAAAAAATAATAATCAAAGACCTTAGGAAAAAGAAGCAATATATGGCCAATACTACCTCATCTGCACCCACCCCCCTGCAAAGTAATGAAAAGTATTTCATCTCTTTTAGAAAAATTGGACAATTTTGAATGGATATGGTAATAATTTGTAGTGCTATTTTTGACAAAAAAAATATTTTAAAATTGCAGAAGTATTGATCTGGAAAAGAAATGCCATTCTACATGGTATGCAGTGATATTTTTTTAAAAAACAAAGTTTTTGTCCCTATCAGGTCTGTTCCTAATCCAAATTCCACTGGCCACAAATTTATCTTTAAGGAAAACAAACCTGTTGGAAGATAAATGCCCCATTTTGCAGTAAACATTCGACTGCTTCAAATTCAGAGTGCATGGGAGTGTGATATAGGACCTGTCTGCAGCTCTTTAAAGCAGCTGCATCATTTCTTGGGATTGCAGTGGTGGTATCTCTTGGGAAAGGGAGCAAAAAATAACTTACAGTAGAGTTGTAAACAGGTGTCACATGTCCACATTCTCTGAAGCATCTTTTTGGAACCAAATTCAAAGCATTGCAAATACTGATTAAACATTGCTTTGTAAATCTCTCATTATTTTGTAAATGACTGAAGCTGGATTTCAGACATACATCCTTTTTAATAGCAAACTGTCTTGTTATTTTTCCATCTTTTAGTTGGTGACAAAGTGCCCGCTGACATCCGAATCATTGAGGTCAAGTCCACAACACTGAGGGTAGATCAATCCATTCTTACAGGTAGGCATTCTATTCCATGAGGGGGAAAGTATTTCTGAACATAGGTAGAGATGAAATTTGGAAAGTCCTAAATGAAGGTTAAAATGAAACCAGTAAAATCCTAACAAGGTCATCATCATTTGCATGGCATGCTTTTCCACAGGTTAAAATAAGATACGAATTAAGGCAAA